GACTGCGGCAGCGACGACGGCGTCGGCGGTGTCGGCAGTGACGGCGGCCTCCCGAAGCTCAGGCTCGCTGTCGAGCGGCTCCGACGGCAAGGGCGCGGGCCTGGGCTCCAAGACCGTCTCGGAGGCGGTGGCCACGCCGGCCGCCCAGCGCAAGTGAGGGGGAGGGGCCGTCGTCGTCGCCGTCGCCATCGTCGCCGCCGTCGTCGTCGTCGTCGTCGTCGTCGTCCGCGCCACCCCATCCCATCTGTCGGAGGGGGGGGCCGCGGGGCCCGTTCAAGCTCACCCCCCAACCTCCGACCATGCCCGTCGGTGTACACGTGTGCAGCGAGCTGGGCGACAAGAAGAATTACACCAGAGGAAAACCTCAATCGGTGGATGGTTTGATCGATAAGGAGATCGCATGGGAAGGCAGGAACCCAGAACCCACCGAAATCGAACCAATGACCAGGAACCGGGGAACCTGGAACCGGGAACCCGGGAACCCAGCCGGCCACCAAAATCGGCGGAACATTTTCGCGAAATTGTTCAATTTCCGCTAGGGCCCCTTCAGTGCACTGTTTGGGGGAAAAAAGCCCTCTCCGCAGCAGGCATGCAGGGGTGCCGCCTCGCCGCCAGCCACAAGACCATGAACCACGCCAAAGCGAGCATCCCGAGCGGGGAGGTCCTCGGCGTCACCCAGAGACCCGCGCTCCACACTGCACGTGCAATCTGTCAACCGCGCTCTTCTTCTCCAGACCACAGTCAACCCGCACAGTATGGATGGGCGACTGTCCACAACTTAGCCTTGCATCCGTCCCTCTCGGCCCATGCTTGGCCGCCTCCGCCGGCAGCGTCTCGCTCGCAGCGCGTCGGCAGGGCCTCCCGAGGCCCCCTGGCATCCCTGCCGTGCGTCCTCAGTATGCGGCAGGGCTGGACCTAGACGGTGTTTTTGCGATGTCGTGGGCCGTCTTCGTTTCGACCTCGTTTCGCGGCGAAGGCGGATGGAAGACAAAACGAAAGCAAAACGAAAACGAGAAACACCGTTTAGGTTCAGCCCAGGTGCACGGGTCGACTGTATTACAACACGCGCCATGCGAGCCCGAAAGTCAGGGGTCAGAGTCGCCGTGGACAGCCCTGGGGGAGTTCAAATCGTGGAAGAAAAGGTAGCGTTTGCGATATGTGTTGGCTGGCCAGCTTTTCGGCGAGAATGGGCCGAGGAGGCGCTCTTCAGGGCCCGAGGAGTCGATTTAAGGCCCAGAAGGGACTCCTACGGGGCCGACATGGAGCCGGCATGGGTCCCAGATGCGTTTCCAGAGCGATATGGAGATCGAGATCTTCTTGGAAGCCGTCTTGGAGCCGTCTTCGGGACCGACAAGGGGATTGGACGCAGCCGGGATGCGGGATGGCGGAGGCCTCCGGGGGGGGGGGTAGACAAGGGGAGGGGCGGAAGCCATGCGAGGAGTCCTCACATTGAAATCCCACACGCCCTAAAGCCCGGTGGGCGGGCGGATTCAAGAGGTTTGCGCCATTCCGCCGACCCCCAGATGAAAAACGAAGTCCACGGGTGAGCCCTCTAAGGGCCGCTGTGATTGTCGGGAGGGCCCTTTGGGAGTGCTAGATTCGTCTTGAGGGCCCCTTCGGTGAAAAAAATGAGGCCTCTTTTGGTCTTCTCGGGGACCGCTTGGGGCCTTCTTGGGCGCCTGCTGGCGGTCTTGAGGGTCCGTTCGGAACGGAGGGCTCGATATGTCAGTTCGGGTTACCCCTCATGTATGTTGGGGCCATCTCGGGCGACTGTTGGGCCGTCTGGGGGCCCTCTTGAGCCGTCTTGGGGCCATCGTGAGGGTTTCTTGGGCAGTTTTGGAGCGATCTTGGGGGCTTCTTGAACAGCTTTGGGCATTGTTGGGGCCGAAGGGGAGCGCATGCTAAACATATACGTTTCCCCGGTTTGGGGATTTCCTTGTGGGCCTTCTTGGAGCCTTTTGGGGGCACTTTGGAGGCCACTTGGACAGTTTTGACGCCATCTGGGTTGTTTTTGAGCTCCACTCGGCGTGTTGGAGCCCAGCTTTTGCCAGCTGAGATAGCACCTTGGACATATTGGAGGCCACGGAGTGTAGATTTGGAGGCTCTGGAGGCCCCAGGGGTGCGTTTCTGTTTGGGAGCCCCGCTCTATGAAACGAGATGCTGGACCCTGGGGGGAGGGTGAGAGGGGAGGGGGACAGCCAACTGTTTCACACGGCTTGTCGCCCCTGGCAACCGGGGGTCGCCGGACTCTGGTCCTCCCTCCTCGTCTCATTTTCTTCCTTCTTTCCTTCATCCCTCCTCCTCCTCCTCCTCCTCCTCCTCCTCCTCCTCCTCCTCCTCCTCCTCCTCCCCCCTCCTCCTCCTCCTTCTCCTCCTCCTCCTCCTCCTCCTCCTGTTTGTCCTCCTCCTCCTCCTCCTCCTCCTCCTCCGTCCTCCTCTTCCTCCTCCTCCTCCGTCCTCCTCCGTCCTCCGCACCAGGGCACTGAAGATGGTCATCATTCCAGTATGTGACAAGATCCGTCTACAATGGCCACGTGTACGACAAGTTTTATATGTTGACGACCATCAGATGCAGCGAGATGGAGGACGCCAAGAAGTACGTGATGACATCTACGTTAGCACCCAGTACTATATCAACCAGATCGAAGGGAACCTCGGTATACCCATCTCGCGCATGCGCGGGACCAAGCCAGGCAAGAATTATGTCATCACAGCCGACAAGGAGCTGCGCCACACCTGCAAGGCAATGGCCAACTACTTCGGCTACCAGATCAAGGCCACGGGCCAGCAGCTCGGAGTGGACACCGCGGGGGGGAGCCCCGATAACACGACGGAAGGCTGGCTCGAGGATCCGCAAGGCCTGGGGCAGGAGGAGGAAGCTGCTCAGCCTCAAGGCCAGCGGCGCTACCACCAGGGCAGTGGTCAAGAATGGTCTACTGCCCAACATGTGCTACGCCTCGGCCAGTTTCGGGGTCCCCACCACGATCCTCAACACGGCCCGTATCCTCATGTCCAGCGGCTTCGGCGGCGAGCCCATGGGCAAGGACAGGGCCTTGCGGCTTTGGCTTCACTCGGCAGACCCGATCGTGTAGGCCACCCTCACCCCGATGGGCAAGTGGGCCGCTGCCGTCTGGGACTCAGGCGCCGACTACGCCAAGCTCGAAGCGGGCTGGCGCAGGGCAGTGCGCCTAGCAGCAGCTTGGCAGGCCCCCCACCGCAAGTTCGACTGGAAGCAGGTCAGGGGCCCTGCCACCGCGCTCTACGGGTCCCTGGACAGACTTGGATGGACCTGGCCAGCACCGCACACCATCATGACGCATCACCAGGAGCAGCTGAACATGCGGATCGTACCACCCTCCACGATCAAGGTGCTCGCGCTGGCCAGGCTCGAACAGGTCGCAATGGAGGAGTGGGCCGAGAAGCACGAGCTACCTGGAGTTTCACGACCTTTTCTGGAACCGGTACGCGCCCTCCTGCGCCAGAAGGCTCAACGTTTTTGCCCTGGGCGAAGACGCGCAATCGAGAGCTACCTGTGCGCCGCCTTCTGCACGCAAGATGTTCGATGGCGTCGTGGAGAGACAGACATACGAGAATGCCAAGCATGCGGCAATGAGATCGGCACCCGGCAGCACAGGTTCTGCAGGTGCATTGCGCTCGACCAGCAGCGCAGAGATATTGCCGACGACAACGCCGAGATCATCCACAGGGCCACCAGGGCCACGGAGGGAGTGCCACTTTTTGCCCGAGGCATTGTAGACCACCCTGTGGCGGATCCCACCTCAGATTTTCAGAATGAGCGAATTCAAACCCGAACAGGAGAGCCAGGCCTGTACAGTGGCTCCGCCTTCTCCGACGGATCGGGAGTAGGGCATCCAGGATACAAGAGTTTTGGTTGGGGTTTCGCGTTCGTGAGAGAGTCGCCGTTCGTCGGCGAGTTCTCTCAATGTGGATGCCCTACTGGAGTGCGATCAGCCCTTTCTGTCCTGCGGTGCGAGCTGTTACGCTTCGCGCACATGCTGCAATTCGCCACTCCCCCGCTCGCCGTAGGAATCGATGACGACACTTTATTTAGAGGCCTCCGAAGAGGCCGAGCCTCGTGCACCAAAGGCGTTCGCTCGCATGCCGACGTTTGGACTCGGATGTGGAACGTGTTCGATGATAGTTTTCCTGGCCTGGTAGGACTCACGACCGTGATAATAAAATCGCATTCCTCGCAGCACCTGAACTCGGATGACCCTAGAGTGAGCTTCCTGGCACGTGGAAATGAGGAGGCGGACGAAGCGGCCCGTGAAGGGGCCGACCTCGCCCCTCGACCTGTAGGCACCAGCATGACGTACAAGCAACGATATACAGACGTTCAGGCAGTTTTGAATTTCGTGGCCGATCTTACAGTTAGGACGGGGCCTTTTGCCGACACTACCCCTACCCCCCCCCCTGCCAGGGGGAGAGGGAGAGGAGGAGGAGGAGGAGGAGGAGGAGGAGGAGGAGGAGGAGGAGGAGGAGGAGGAGGAGGAGGAGGAGGAGGAGGAGGCGGAGGTGGAGGTGGAGGAGGAGGAGGAGGAGGAGGAGGAGGAGGAAGAAGAAGAAAAAGAAGAAGCAGAAGCAGAAGCAGAAGCAGAAGCAGAAGCAGAAACAGAAGCAGAAGCAGAAGCAGAAGCAGAAGAGGAGGAAGAGGAGGAAGAGGAGGAAGAGGAAGAAGAGGAAGAGGAAGAGGAAGAGGAAGAGGAAGAGGAAGAGGAAGAGGAAGAGGAAGAGGAAGAGGAAGAGGAAGAGGAAGAGGAATAATAAGAAGAAGAAGAAGCAGAAGGAGGAGGAGGAGGAGGAGGAGGATAAGAAGAATAATAAGAAGAAGAAGAATAAGAAGAAGAAGAAGAAGAATAAGGATGAGGAGGAGGAGGAGGAGGAGGAGAAGAAGAAGAAGAAGAAGACGAAGAAGACGAAAAAGAAGAAGAAGAATAAGAAGAAGAAGAAGAAGAAGAAGAAGAACAAGAATAAGAAGAATAAGAATAAGAAGAAGAAGAAGAAGAGGAGGAGGAGGAGGAGGAGGAGGAGGAGGAGGAGTGTTGGCCCCCAGAAGGCCCCGCGTTGCCCTGCAGAGGCCCCACCTGGTTAGCTTCTCAGCGCCTGCAGTCGCC